GGTCGCATGGCTATAGGATAATCAGGATGGTAATGCGGTAGAAGTGCTCTACGTGATCCTTCGGCTAGAGGATCTGCTTATGTTAATATCTGTCCTCGCCCGGCTGAGAATCTCCTATCTAGGGGTAGATTCGGTAAGGGGTGCGAGAGAGACCGCCTTATACCGGCAGTACCGCCAACCTCTGGATGCTTCAAGGATCCTTCCCATGCCTGGTAATATTTTATTATCTCATAGTTAGAAGGGCTCCACGAAGAATGTTAAAGAGCTGCCGCGCACCTACTACCCCCCTTTTCTTACACTCCTTAACCCTCGCTCGCCCCCCCCCCACATTTCACCTCCCCTCACTGAATTTATCTAAACCCTACGTCCCACTATCCTAACCCTCATCTTCGTTTACTTATCCTACAAACATCCATGCTATCCCCCATAACTACATGCCCTATCTTCACCCCTATATTCCAACACGCCCTTCTTAGGCGACTCGTGCACCAACGGTATTTAACAACCCCCGGCAGTGATGCCAACCCCGGAACAAGCAGTATTTCGCGTTTCTCAAGGATAGGCTAGGCCACATGAGAGGATCTTACGAGCTCGGGAGCCTCGCGGAGTCTCGGCACGTATCCGCGTTTTCAATGCTTCTTGAACTTTGAACCCGCAGGTGCCCGTTACAATTTTCACGCTATATGTCTTAAGGTCACCCACTTCTCCCCCCCATCTATTCTTGTATATCATTTTAAAAACAATCCAGAACCCTTCATCGTTCAATTCTATATCTAATTACGCACCCTGAACCCCCAATGTATTTTCTATGCTTCACGTTACTCCACTCTCTACTAACAATCTCTGCAAACACCGTCTTAACTTTGTCCGTCTCTTCCAGGCTTACGTAATACACAAACTCAGCCGGCACACACGTAACAGAACTACCAGAGCCCACTGTCGGCATTGCGGTCGGACCGGTAATGAACTGCTCGAAATTAATTACGCTTCCCACGGCAGATTCTCCATTGGCAGCGACTCCAAAGGCTGGGACCAGCGACAACAAGGACGCCCAGGCGTCTCTAAGCTACGTAGCCCCGTACGGAGAAGTTACAGCTATGATTCTGGATTATCGATAATGCGGGTAACTCCCCCTCCTGGAGGCTCTCGTACCACAGTCTCTCCACTGTGCCCCCCCCTCTCTCTCTCTCTCTCTCTCTGTTTCTCTCTCTGCCTTCCCTGTTTCAGCCATCCCACAAGCCCTACTCAGAGAACCCTAACTATGGGCATTCAGACCGAACTACACCAGCCGTTGCTTTACCCATTGCGGTTTCTGACAACAGTCTCGAGGGCTTCGCGAATTCAAAGAAGCGTGCACTGTAACGCATTCGGCCTTGTTTCAGTCAGCTGTGATTCTTAGCACGTTGCGGAGTGTCAACAGTGACCTTGGGTCGTTACCAAAAGATATCGTAGAGCACGTGCTGATATGACTGTTGTCATTGAGATAATGAGAGAATGCCTAGGGGGCTGATTATTTACTCGTATACGAGGTGGATACAAAAATTGATATTACTGGTGGAGTTAGGTTAGGTTAGGCAGTGAAATTCGATGGCAACGAAAACTTAGCGATTTACATAACAACATCGTGGTAAATAACGTTTAGACCCATTGCTTAAGTAACAGCGGTATGTGTCCCAGTGGATGCCATCGCTAATGCGCTGTTGGGGTACATACATTATCGTCGGGAACATTGAATATTCCTAGGGGGGTTGTGTCTGGATGGAAAATTTTCAATCTTCAACCCTGCGATTCGCTAAACGTTTTTAGCTATTTTTTCTTAATTGGATTCTCAGAGTCGCGACGAAGGTCGAGCCGATGGGCGCCCAGACAGAAATATTGAAATTGAACACCGAGCGGGCACTTGTTTCGCTTGGTCGAGGAGAGATGAAATTGGGAGGAGCGAAAATATACGAAAGGAGGTGATGCAGATGGAAAGGAAAGAAAAAAGGTAAACAAGATAGTCGAGGATTCAGGGACGATTGGGATGCTGAGCGGTGAGGGGTGCTCGTTGTCCAATCGCTCGCTAATGAACGCTCGCTTTGCCCAACAATATGGCGCAATTAAATATAGAGGGAAATTGCATATTAATCGGATAGCAGATATAGCGCGGACCACTGTACAGACGTTATAGTCGGGGGATGAATTTTGTATGGGTTAGTTTTGGCTAAGGACGAGATATTCGAGGTTGGACGCGGGGGATTTACGGGAAATCGTATTTAATTTGTATTGTTTAATTGGCAATTAGCGTACCGCCAATGAAAATATATCTGCAGTGGACAGGTGTTGTTTACTTAATTCAATTGCACTCACTTGAACCCCTATTGCGCCGGAGAGTCGAGCCAACCTGCCTTCGGTACCAGCCCGAGATACCGTTCTTATGAAAACCATCAGTCCGACCCCGCGACCCCCGGGCCAGCGTCAAGCAGCAACGTCGACGATAAGCTGCCCCTCTCCAACGAGCAAAACTAGATCTTCGGATTTAAAGAAAACCGACGAAGCCAGGCTGCCTCAAGCCAGGGACTTATTTTTTAGTCCTGAACTCCCTTCGAGTCCTGGAAGTTCTGCCGTTACAGCGAAAGCGAGTCCAGAGTCCTTTCGTCCCCATCGATTCGAGTCGCTCGATTCTTCTCGCTTCCCTCCTACGAGGCGGAAGTCCGAGGAAGACTCAAGTCCGAGGAAGACTCAGGCCGGATTTCAGGCTCTGCACTGTATTCGACTTTGGCGTTCGGCATCAGCCGCTGCGACGACTGCAGGTTCAGTTGGCGCGGGAGGGGGGGAGAGGGGGAGAAGATGCGAATCGAGGAAAAAATTTCAAAATTTCTTACCTGCACGTGCTTCAGTTGTCTCTTTCCCTTGTACCAGGTGATCACTGCCGGAGGCTGCGAACCGGTCGTCTCGCAGGTCACGTTGTACCGTTTGTCAGCGAGCAGACCACCCTTGTCAGCCGGTGTGTTTATATTCACAGTGAGCGGTTTGACTGCGGGCGTCGGGCACGATCCGGGGAGCGGCATATGAAAATCAGGCAAACAGAAGGGATGAGTATCTCATAATTTTATCTCAGATAATTTCGTCCGTAACGAGATCATTCGAAAGGTCATTGTCACCGGTCGACCCACGCGCGCGCATCTACCTATGGGAATCGCCGCGCGTGAAGATTTGACTTCCGCTCGCGGAATAACGCGCAGATTTTACCCACTGCGGGATTACAACCAGCCAGGAAAATTACATTTCGGGATTACAGCCAATGATTCCGATCGATTCGCGAGAGCGTGACGCAGGGATTAATCGAGTTAGCGGATTTGTGTAAAATTGCAATCAGCCAACGAGTCACAGAGGGGGCGCGGCGGAGGGACGATTTCGAATGGGCGCCATGAGGGAACACCGGTATGTACGAAGGGTGCGTTCACGTTGAGCGTAACTTCCGTCCTTTGCGGTTACGTCATTTTGACATGATAGGTCGTGACGCAATTTTCAAATATTTTATACTTTTATTATTTCTACAGTCCCACCCGAGTGTACACCACACGACGCGACTATAAGTACGCCTTTAGGAATTTACACTTTTTTTTTTACAATCCTCCTCCCCGTTCACTCTGTCTCTTTATCCGTAAATTATAAAACCTAACCTAACATAATATTATTGACACCGTTTTAGGCTGCGTTTCCAATTCACATTGATCTACAAATTTTTACGTACATTGTTCCTATAATATAGTGTAAAATTATAGTCATACAGTTATTATAGTGCGGTAGGGGGCCTATCACGATGTACACGTTATTTCTGAACGGTACTTTTATCCGAAAACGAATACTCTGGTAATCATCGTTCGCGGGGAATCAAAGGGATGCACGTTTTCGTTTTATCCCTGATAAAAAGGGGGGG